AAAAAAAAAAAAAAAAAAAAAAAAAAAAACATTGTTCGCTATTCGAAATAACGTTATTAATAATTCAAAAGTAAAAAAAAATTTCTTTTTCGGCTGCTTTTTAAAAATAATAACAGAACTTAGACATTTAAGAAAAAAAAAATTTTTTTTTTTTTTTCCCTAAGGGTCACCTGATTCCCCCCCTCTCACTCTCTCTCTCACTCTCCCTCCCCCCTTATAACAAATTTTTAAACTTCCTTCTCCCCAACTTATTCTTATAAAAAAAAAAAAAAAAAAAAAAATTAAAATTTAATTTTTTGGCATTCGTAAAGTTAATTTTTTTCTTTTTTAATTTTTACAATGAAAGAAAAATAATAATAATGATAATAATAATGATAATGAAAACTTTGTTTAAATAATGAATATTTTATTATTGAAAAGATTTTAAGAATGAATAGATCATACACGCATAAGTACAAAAGAAAAGAGGGGGGGAGGGGAAAAATATTAAAATTGAACTAGCCGATAATATTTAAAACTATTTTACGGTTTTTCCCATTATTATTATTATTATTATTATTATTATTATTACTATGATTATTATCATTGTTTTCTTCTTGTTCTTCTTTGTTACAATCGGAAGCTTCTCCTTTAAAGATTCTTAACTCTTATTACCTTAAGGACAATTAAATAAAATTTTCCATAATGAGAACAATTCAAAATATTTATAATAAGAGAGAAAACAAAAGGAAAATTTTCTATTCGATTTTCAAATAACCTTTTAACCTTTTTTTTTTTTTTTTTATTTTATTTCTTGTTTCCATTTCCTTTTCAACAGCAACAACAACCACAACCACACTTTTTTTTTCAAGTTACCTTATCGATATCACAATTTAATTATTATTATTATTATTATTATTATTATTATTATTATTATTATTATTATTATTATTATTATTATTATTATTATTATTATTATTGAAATTTAAAGAAAGAAATTTATTCCAGAGAATGGGGGAGAGAGAGAGAGAGAGAGAGAGAGAGAGAGAGAATTATTATTCGCGTTGAACTTCAAAGTTAATCTCAAATGATAAATGACATAATTTCTTTAATTGGATTCTTTTTTTCCCTACTCAAAACATTCATTTTGTCTCATCTATCACCCGATCTACTCGATACCATGTTTAAAAAAGTTTTTTTTTTCTGTTACCACTTTTAACACCTTCCTGTGTAAGAGATGACGATGAGAAAAGGATAATAGATGGTGGAAGGGAATAAAAAAAAAAAAAAGGAAAAATCGAAAGAGAGTGTGAGAAGATGATGATGTATCTCTCATGTCGTTAGCGACAACTGAGACATTTCATATCAAATTAATGACCTCAACTCATTTTATCTTTTTATTATTTTTTTTTTTTTTTCCTTTTCTCTCGGCCTATTTAATCCTTCTTTTTGTCAATGTATAAACAATTTTTTTTTCTTTTATGTTTTCCCTTCTTTTTTTTTTTTTTTTTAATGTAATTAAAAATAATAGTAATTATGGTAGTAATACTAGTAGTAGTAGTAGTAGGTTTTGTTGTTGTTTTCTTAAAGGAATTAATAAATATAGTGACTGTGGTTTTTGTAGAAGTAATAGTAGTAGAAATTGTTGTAGTTGTGGTTGTTGGAAGAGTAGTAGTAGTAGTAAAAGTAGATGTTGTTACTGTTGATTTTGTTGTTGTAAGGGTGGTAATAGTAGTGGTAAAAGTTGTTGCTAAGGTTTTTTGTAAAGTAATAGTAATAGAAGTTGTTGTTATTGATGTTGAAAGAAAAGTAGTAGTATTAGAAGTTGTTGTTGTTGTTTTTTGTAGAAATAATAGTTATTGTTGTTGTGTCGAAGGTAGTAGTAGTAGTAGCAGAAGTTGTTGTTGTTGGAAAAGTAGTCGTAATGTTAGAAGTTGTTGCCGTTGTTGTTGGAAGGTAGTATTAGTAGTAGTAGCAGAAGTTGTTGTTGTTGGAAGGGTAGTAGTAGTGGTAGAAGTTGTTGCCGTTGTTGTTGGAAAAGTAGTAGTAATGTTAGAAGTTATTTTTGTTGTTGGAAGAATAGTAGTAGAAGTAGTAGAAGTGATTGTTGTCGAAAGATTAGTTGTAGTAAAACCAGACGTTGTTGTTGTTGAAAGAGTAGAAGTAGTAGAAGTCGTTGTTAAAAGAATAATAGTAGTAGTAGTAGTTATTAAATAAAACATAATTATGTTTTATTTAAAAGTAGAAAATACATAAACACACGTTAAAGACAATAGATTTAATTTAATTTTGTAACTTTTTTTTTTTTTTAATGTCTAAATTTTTGATGAAATAAAAGAAAATAAAATTAAAAGACAAATGTGGTTGACATTAGCGACAACTAATCAAAGATCTTTTAATTTAATTCAAAACGACGTGTCAACAGAAAATAAAAATAAAATAAAATAATGTAAATAGTAGTGTTGTTTTATCATTGGTCAATTTTAATAAAAAAAATTTTTTCTCTCTTCGTCGTCGTCGTTTTTAGCTGCGCTATTTCAAATATTTTTTATAAAATTTTTCGTTTTTCATCTCAAAAAAAAAAAAAGCAAAGAAATAGAAAAAAGAAGAAGATGAAGAGGGGGGGGGAGAAAAAAAACGTAATTTTATAAAAATTTTTTTATTTATTTAAAAAAAAAAAAAAAGTTAACTGAATCTGACAGAAGGTTTTCATATAATTTTTATTCTTTTTTTTTTTTCCAATTTTTTCTACTTGTCACCTTTTCTTTGCATAATCTTTTCTTCCATCTTCTTCTTCTTTTTTTTATATTTTCTTTTTCCTCAGGCAGAAAATTTTTTATCTTTAAATTTATATATACACACACACACACACACATATGCGTGCATGTAGTAAAAGTATGAGTTTTCATAGGATTTAAAAAATGTGAAATTTTCTTTTTTTTTTCTTTTTTTTTAACCGTTAAAATTTCATTTATCGTGGCAGGAAAATTAAAAAAAAAAAAAAAGGAAAATTTATTTATCGTAATAGTTTTTAAAAGCTTCGAAATGAATTATTATTATTATTAATTTTTAACCGTTACGTCATTGCATCACAAGTGACAAAATTTATAATTTTCTTTTGTAACGAATAAAAAAAGTTTATGCCGATAAATTTTTTTTTTAAATACAAAATTTTACAACAAAATATTTCTCTGATTTAAAAAAAAAGTAAAAAAAGTAAAAAAAAAAAAAAACTTTAAAAGGTTTTATTTAACTGGGGAGGTAATAAATAGACCGAAAGCACTGCGCCGGTGGCTCCCATTTTTCAATTTGATAAAAATCTCGACATTTTCTTACGACTAAAAGAATCGCTAAAAAAAGATTCAGCAATTTAAAAAAGAAAAGAGAGAGAGAGAGAGAGAGGAGAGACACGTGGGGGGAAGGGGAGGGGGGTAAATGAAAAAAAAAATATATAGGAAAAAGTTAAAAAACGAAATAAATAAAAATAAATAAAATAAAAAAGAGAAAAAAAAAATGGGTAGGGAAAAACTTACCGACGACGTGTAAATAGCCAAATTGAGTTTTGGCCGTGACTGTATTTATTTGACACATGTACCTTCCTTTATCTTCTTCTTGAACGTTATTTATGTGTAATATCCAGGTACGATGTTTGTCGTGCGAAACGGAAATTCTTGGATTTCTCGTTATCACGTGAGTGTGTACTGTTAATATGGCTGATTGTTCAAAATGCATCCAAGCTACCTGAATCGTAAATAATAATAATAATTTATAAATTTAACGATTTAAACAAAAGGGGATAGAAGGAATGGAATGGGGAGGGGGAGGGGAGCTTGTTCGAAAAAAAAAAATTTTCTTTTTTTCCGGAATAAATTTTTAACGTTTTTAGAGATTTTCGATTGAAGATTACGCAAATTCAAAAATTTGAAATTTTAAATTCGTAGTAAAAATTTAAATAAAAAATGTAAGTTAAAAACAAAACAATTTATTAATAATATAAATATTGATTTATATTATTATTATATATTATTAATATATTATTTTTAATATATTTTAAATTTGTATATAAATTAAATTTAAAATTTGTGACGTGTCGAACAAAAAAAAAAAAAAAAAATTCTTTTTTTCACTAAATCGATTAACGTTTGTCTTTTTCTTCTTCTCCTTCTCCTTCTCTTTCTTCTCCATCTTCTCCATCTTTTTCTTTTTCTTCTTCTTATTTTTTTCGTCTGCTTTTATTATTTTTCGAAAATAAAAAAAAAAAAAAAAAATTTTCCTTTTTTTGTCATCGACTAATTAATTTAAAACAGTTCGCAACCTGAACCGTAAATTTAATTAAACATTTTTTAGAAATGTTATATTTCTTTCTTTTTTTAAAGTCTTGACTTTTTCTCTCTCTATCCCCCCTCTATCTCTCTCTCCCCCCCTTTCTCTCTCTTTTCGTATTAAACATCTTTTACTTTTAAAATTCTTTTTTTTTTTTTTTTCAAATAAACTTTTTCGACTGACTGTTTTGTAAAATTTTAGTTTTTTTTCCTACGTAATTTATAACCGTTTTTCTCTCTCTCTCTCTCTTTTTAGATACGTTTATGAATATGAAAAAAAAAAGGAGAAAAAAATGGCGTAACGGAAGTAAGTAACGGTTTTTTTTTTAAATTGATGTGATTAAAAAAAAAAAAAGGTAAATAAATGAACGTTTTTCATTTTTTTTCTTTTCTTTCTTTTTTCTTTTTTCTTTTACTCTCAATAAAAGAACTAATAAAATATGCAATTAAAAAGGCCTTAAGCCAACAAGAACAACAACAAAAAAAAAAAAAAATCTTTTATATGTAAAAAAAAATGGAGGGAAAATTAATTTTTTAAAGGATTCAATTCATTAAAAGTACTTTTTGAAACTCGGTTTGCTAAAAAAAATTAGCGGCATTAACAATTCATTACACGTGATTAACTTTTTTTTTTCTTTTCAAAGATCGTAAGAAAGAAAAAAGAAAAAAAGAAAGAAAAAAAAGTATTATTACTATTATTATTATTATTATTATTTTTAATTCTTTATTTCATTCTATTATTATTATTATTAACATTAATTTTATTTATAAAAAAAAAATTATTATTATTATTATTATGCAAATTAAAATTAATAATAATTTTATACTGATTAATTTTCCGCCATTTTGATTTTTATTTACGTCGCGTTTTTATATATGTTGGTACGAATGAATTTAAAATTTCCCGCCATTTTATGTTTAATAGGAAACCGGAAATAAAAAAACTTACTTTTTTTTTTTTTATCACGCGATTTGAATTTTTTTTTTTTTTCATCGACAAACAACGATAAACAAACGGTTTTTTTTTTTTTAAATTAGAATTTTTCTTTTTATTATTATTATTATTATTTTTGTTGTTGTTTGTTGTTTGTTTTGAGGTTTTTTGTTGGTGTTAATAAAATTTTTTATTGATTGACGTTTGTTATTCAAAAGACAAAACAAATTTTTCATTTTATTACGTACGTTTCGAACAGCAAATTTTTTTTTTTTTTCTTTAAAAAAAAAAAAAAATAAAATAAAACGGAAAATAAATAACCACGATGATAATAATAATGATGATGATAATAATAATATATTAAAATTACTTTTTGATGCGTCAAATGTTTCGAAACTGTTGTTACGTCGAATAAATGTTATGTTACGAAAAAAAAAAAATTTTTTTTTTTAGAGACACGGAAAATACAAGTATTAAAACAGGAAATGGGAAAGGATATAAAAAAAAAAAAATGGCGGAAAGGTTTGGCGCCCCGAATGATGGCGTCACAGTGTCGGGAATTTACCTTCCCCACTTTTAAATTAAAAAAAAATAAAAAAAAAATTTTTCTTTTTTTTCACCTTTGCCAAGTTTTGTTTTGCTAAAGTTTAAAGGTGAAAATGTAAAAACTTTTTTTTCTTTCTTTTTCATATTTTTATGTACGGATTTCGACAAAAAACAATAATAATAATAATAAAATATTAATCGTTAATTTATTAATTAATATATAAAAATAAATTATTATTATTATTATAATTTATAAAATTACCGTTATATATTTTGACGCAACAAGTGTATATAATAAATTAATTCGATTGAAAACACGTAATGAAATATTTAAAAAAAACGAAATGAATTATTATTATTATTATTATTATTGTATTGATAAAACCGGAAATGACGTATCTCGTTACGTTTTTCCGTATGAAATTTTTTTTTTTTTATTTGATTTTATTACATAAATAATTATTAACCGGTTGAGGAAAAAAAAAATCACGCCCATTAACGAGAGGAGGGGAGGATAGGAGAGGGGAAAAACGCAAAACACAAAACAAAAAAAAAAAGAAAGAAAATAAATAAGAAAAAGAAAATAAGAGGGGGAGGGGGGGAAGAAAAAAAAGTGAAACATGAAAAAGGCAAGTAGAAAATAGAGAAAATGCTCAAGTCAAAAACTTGAGCATTAAATTTTTTTTTTTTTTTTAAATCTTTCAAAAAAAAATAAAATAAAAAGGAAAAAAAAGGAAAGAAAAAAGGAAAGAAAGAAAAAAGTCAAAACACGTGAGAAAAGAATCAAATAAAATAAATTTGTATGGTAAAAAGGAAGGAAAAAGGAAGGAAAAAAAGAGAAAAGGGTAGAAAATAAAAAAAACACAATCGGGAAGTAGGGAAAAATAAATTTTTTTTTTTTTTTTTTTTCAAAAGTTGGCAAATGTGAATAAGAAATACACGAATGTTCGTCAAATGAAAAATTTTAATTAAGAGTAGCAAAAAAAAAAAAAAAAATTATATATATATAGAAAAAAATGTTAGAAGATCTATAAATTTCAAAATGGCGGTTTTGATAAAAAAAAAAAAATTTCCCCGACTTCCAACAACTTTTATTCAACAAAATAATTATAAACTTTTATGAATAATTTTTTTTTTTTCCAACATTTATTAGTTCTTCGAAATTTTTCTTTTTTTTTTCCTCAACAGAAATTTTCCATTTTTTTTTTCGTTTCGTTTCGTGTTTTCAGTTCAAAATAATAATAATAATAATAATAATAATAATAATAATAATAATAATTTTTTTTTTAATATTTATAACATTTGAAAATCGAAATAACGTAAAAAACTTTTTCAGTTTTTTTTTTTTTTATAAAAAAGTAAAATCATCATCATCATCATCATCGAATTATAATTTCTCCCCCCCCCCTCCCCAATAATTTTTTTTCTTCTTCAAATAAGTAAATTAGTTAATAACATAAACAAATTTTTTTTTTTTTAAAGATGGCGTGAATGAAAATATTATTAAAACTTATTCGATTTAAATTTTTTTTTACTAATTCACACTTTGATTTTCTCTTATTTCGTAATAGGAAATCCATAGAGTAAAAAAACAAAAATAATTGAAATGAATGAAAACACATTTTCTCTTACTCTATGACTTAATTTTAATGTGGTTTTTTCATTGGAATTTGAAATTTCTTCATACTTTTTCTCCTGACACGAAAACCGAATTTTATCTTCGCGGTTTTTTTTTTTTTTAAAACAATCATGTTGGCACTTTTGTAATTTTTTTGTTTTAAAAAAAATTTAAAAATAAAACTCAATTATATTAATAATAATAATAATAATAATAAATTTTTTAAATGATTCTTTTTTTTAACGGTTAAAAAACTTTTTAAAACAAAAAGTTTTGTCGTATTTAAAAGTGTTCACGTGATTTTAAAATCCAAAACGAAAAAAAAAATTTTTTTTTTTTTTCATTTTCATTTTAAAAAACCACAACAATTTTTTTTTTTACCCCCAACAAGTGCACGAGCCACACAAAAACCTCAGTAAAAAGAAAGAAAAAAGTTTCCTTATGTTTATTATTATTATTATTATTATTATTATTATTATTATCATCATGTTTTTATAAGCTTTGTCAAAAGAAAAGAATTTTTGTGGGTAAAAAAAAAATTTTTTTGGAATATGTAAAAGTTTTTTTTTTATAAAAAAAAAAAATGGAGAAGAAGAAGCGAAATTACCAATTAAGGGAATTGTTTGGTTTCATTCGAGTGAAAGATTCGCGGAAATGAAAAGATTCAAAACTTAAATGGGAAAACGGGGTTGGGGGTGGGTGGGGGGCGGGTGGTAAGCAGAGGGGTCACACGTTAGAAATAAATGTGCGACGAAAAAGTTAAAAGACTAAAAGAAGAGAGAAAAGCCAAAGGGAAAATTTCAAATCGTGGAAAACGTTGGGGGAGGGAGGAAAAGGGGGGTGTGGAAGAGGGGGGAGAATAAATCAAACAAGGGTAAAAATAGAGGGTGATGTTACTTAGGGGAAAAGGAATAATCTAAGAGAGAGAGAGAGAAAGAGAGAGATTTTGAGAGGTTTTCTTTTTTTTTTTTTTTTTCGGGAAAATTTTAAAAGACTGCCAGGAAATAACTGACAACAAAGTTACGTGAAAAGCTTTTATAAAATTTTCTTCTTTAAATTTTCATTACATATCAAAAAAATACAAAAAAAATAATCGATAGCCAACTTAACAAACATAAAAAAAAAAAAAATTTTTTTTTTAAATTTTAATTTCGCGTTAATAAATTTTAAAAAGGAAAAGAGTTCATAGAGTAAATAAATAAATTTAAAAAAAAAAAAAAAATTTTTTTTTTTTTTTTACAAAAGAATAAAATTATTCTTTTGTTTTTATATAAACGTCATCTTTCTTTTTATTTTTTCCTTTTTCCGACGG